TGCGATGCAAAGATGACTCAGTATTTCCATGACCAGTTGCTTGCCTTTCTCGTGACGCACGGGATAACTCCTGATAGCATGCCCATGGTCCGCGCTTAGCCATCGACCTGAAGCCTGCATGTAAGAAGCTCGGCAACTAGAGCACGAGCATGTCAATGTACAGTGTACAGGAGCAAACAGGTCTTACTGGGCACTGATCCAGGCACTGTCAGAAAACAAGAAGACCGGTTTTTGATGCAATCAACCCGAAACCCATACGGGAGAGATCCGCTTTGCTTTTGCTGGTCCATCCTACTGAGTGCCAATTGTAGGTATCAGTTGAGACTCACTGCAGTTTAGAGGGCAAAAAGATAGGCGCCACCTTGCGGTTGAGATCTTGTGCTGTTGCAGATGGACAAGACATATTTGCTGCTGGAACCACAATGCTTTTGTTTGCGACTCTCAGGAACTGTGGGAGGAGTCATGTTTTGTTGCTGCGCCCGCCCTGGTTGCAGCGTTCTTCTGTCTTGCGAGCGGCTGCCCGAAGCAATTAAACGGTGTCACGGTTGAAACTGGACAAATGCCAAACAATGTTCACAATGTTGAGCGTAGCCAACATAATCTTGAGCATCTTGACTTGGATCTTTTGTGAAACGAGTTTTACAATTGTCAAAGAACTATTAGAAGGAACTTCCGTGGTACGACAACTAATTGAAATCTAGCTCTAAATGGCACAAGAGAAGACAAGACTCAGCACACGCAAAACATTTGCGTGCTCGCGTGTGGCAGGAGAACAGACATGCACATAATCCTCTGCCAGTTTCGGTTCCCCAGGATGCTCGAAAGTTAGATGGCACCTTGTCGCAGGGATCTCGGAGCAGTCCCGGAGCACGACGCGTTCGGGGTGTGTTCAGCGATCTCGCTTTTCCGCGCGTGGCAGGCGCAGCAGTTTGGCAAGGTCAGGTACAGATCTCGCGGCAGGCGCATCGGGTCCGTAAGGTACAGATTTCGTAGTAGTCGCAACACTTTCGCAAGGTGCGCAGCACTTTCACAAGGTCAGGTACAAATTTCAGGCCACCTGCAACGCTTTCGCGAGGTCAGGTGCGGATGTCGTGCCAGGCTTTTTCCAATGGGCAAAAAGAGGTGGAGAGTTAGATAGTTGATGAAGTAGATAGAGTGGTTTCTTAGCTAGAAAGGTAGACACAAGTATAGGTGGATAGGTAGAAGGTGAGATTAGATAGATCAATCGGTTGATGAATACATGACGATATGTAACATGTAGTTGCAGAAAACTGGTATATAGACAGATCAATATTGTTGCTGTTGCTGTTGCTGTTGCTGTTGCTGTTGCTGTTGCTGTTGCTGTTGCTGTTGCTGTTGCTGTTGCTGTTGCTGTTGCTGTTGCTGTTGTTGTTGTTGTTGTTGTTGTTGTTGTTGTTGTTGTTGTTGTTGTTGTTGTTGTTGTTGTTGTTGTTGTTGTTGTTGTTGTTGTTGGTTGTTGGTTGTTGGTTGTTGGTTGTTGGTTGTTGGTTGTTGGTTGTTGGTTGTTGGTTGTTGGTTGTTGGTTGTTGGTTGTTGGTTGTTGTTGCTGCTGCTGTTGTTGTCTCTCTGTCTCTCTGTCTCTCTGTCTCTCTGTCTGTTTTGTTGTCTCTTTATCTTGGTTTTTCTCTTTATCTTGTTTCTATTCTTCCAGCTGTCTGTCTATCTGCCTATGTGCCAAACTGGCTACACCAGCAACAGCAACAGCAACAGCCACAGCCACAGCCACAGCCACAGCGAAAGCAGCAGCAGCAGCAGCAGCAGCAGCAGCAAGAGCAAGAGCAAGAGCAACAAGAGCAACAACAACAACAACAACAACAACAACAACAACAACAACAACAACAACAACAACAACAACAACCACAACCACAACCACAACCACAACCACAACCACAACCACAACCACAACCACAACCACAACCACAACCACAACCACAACCACAACCACAACCACAGCAACAACAACAACAACACCAGCACCAGCAGCAGCAGCAGCAGCAGCAACAACAACAAAAACAACAGCAGCAGCAGCAGCAGCAGCAACAACAACAACAACAACACGGTGCTGTGCTGCTTTCACGGCCAGGGCGATTTGGGCGTCATAATGACAACTACCCCATGTTTTACAGTGTGGATTTTGGTGTCAAAACCGGTGCTCAGCGAAAAACTTTGGTTTGGGAGTTTCGAGCTCACCCCCTCCCCAAGCCATTACACATATTTGAAAGAATTACAAGAACAATTAGAACGTCATAGCGCTAAAAAGGATTATGCTGTATTTCAAAATAAAAGAAGATATCAAGATGAAGCACAGGCGTATTTTAATGAAATTCAAAGGTTGGAAAATGAAAAATTGAGACATCATCCATCAAGTGAAACACACGTGTGGTTCCTGGATCTACCCTTGAGTCTGCGATTGCTTGCATGGTTGGGCTCTGATGTCATGGGGCCAAGTACAGTTGACATGTCCACTCACACACTCACTGGTTACTCGTGGGGGGCCATTTTGGCTCAAGTGGTGTTCCTTGACACTCGGTGCCAATGGATGGAGTTATAGAGCAATCTTGCGGATGTCCTGGTACTAGAGTTGTCTGTAGCATCCGTGGTGCTGTGGCTGTGGCGGGGGGGTGCAGCTTGACGTAAGACGCTGGGACTTGCAGGGCGCTGTGGCGGGGGGTGCCGCTGCTGAGCTTGAAACTTGGAGCTTGCTTCCTGCAGTCTGTCCGACTCATACCCGATTCATACCCGATTCATACCCCCGATTCATACCCGATTCATACCCCGATTCATACCCTTCTGCTGCCATTTGCAGCCGCCCAAATCCTCAGAAGACACAAAACTCAAAGAGAAGCACTGCAGGAACCAGCTCGCGGCTCTTTTCGCAGAAGTTCGCCAGAAGGTGGGTTCGGAAGGCTTACCCTGTGAATCCGTCAAGACAATTAGCGGGGGCAAGTCAATTTTTACCGTGAAAGTTAATTTTTACCGTGGGCAGTTTTTTTACCGTTGCCGTTGCCGTTGCCGTTGCCGCGGAAACTTAATTTTTTAACGGGGAAATTGCCGTGGCTGTTGCCGTGGCTGTTTGCCAAGGTGCAGTAGTTTCGCAGTAATTCCTTCCAAACTACTGCGAAATTATCTCCAGCGCAGTAGTTTCGCAGTAGTTAGTTCCAAACTACTGCGGAATTAGCTCCAGTGCAGTAGTTTCGCAGTAACTACTTCCAAAATAGCCGTTGCCGTTGCCGTTTTTGTTGCCGCGTTTTTTGCCGTTGCCGTTGCCGTTGCCGTGAAAAGTTAATTTTGCAAGTCAATTAAGAAGTCACTAATTGCCGCGAAATGGGAATTGCCGTGAAAGTTAATTTTTACCGTGGGACTCTCTAATTGTCTTGACGGATTCGTTGGGTACTGCGATGTATCAAGCGCGACACGGTACACCACCTGTGAGAGGCCCACTAGCCTCTGCGCGGCTCCAATTTGAGGACGTCACGGTGTCTTGCCCTTACGCTGGTTCGTGACTGGTGCGGGTGGCGGGCCTGACTGGGCAGCGGCGCTTCCCCTTAAGCAACGCTTGCTTGGGTCTGTGAGCACGCGGGTCGCTTGAACTCCAAGTGGAGGTGGCCATGACGTTCGCCTCAGGCAGTGGCTCTGCGCCTTCCACCTCGCGCAACAGCTTTCGCTAACCCAGAGTGGCAGCTGTCTAGTTCAGGCCACTCACAAGCGCCCCAGGCTGGCTTGTAGCAACTAAGCGGTCCAAATTCTCACGGCTATCCAGTTGCCAGCGCACGGGAGCTTTGCAGTGTCCAAAGCCACAAAGCAAGAGTTCCGCGCGAGCCATACCCCGAATCATACCCCCGAGCCATACCCCGAACCATACCTGCGATTCATACCCCTTATACCAACCTCCCGGCACGGCCACGTCAAAAAAACACACACCCATAAATACATACATACATACATACCATTACATTACATTACATTACATTACATTACATTACATTACATTACATTACATTACATTACATCACATCACATCACATCACATTGCGGTGCGGTGCGGTGCGGTGCGGTGCGGTGCGGTGCGGTGCGGTGCGGTGCGGTGCGGTGCGGTGCATGCATACATACATACATACACATACATACACATACACATATACATATACATACACATACACATACACATACACACATGCATACATACATACATACATACCATTACATTACATTACATTACATCACATCACATCACATTACATCACATCACATTGCAGTGCAGTGCAGTGCAGTGCAGTGCAGTGCAGTGCAGTGCATACATACATATATACATACATACATACATACATACATACATACATACATACATACATACATACACATACATACATACATACATACATACATACATACATACATACATACACATACATACATACATACATACATACATACATACATACATACACATACACATACACATATACATACACATACACATACACATACACATACACATACACATACACGCATGCATGCATGCATGCATGCATACATACATACATACTTACATACATACATACACACATACATACATACATACATACATACATACATACATACATACATACATAATATAGCCGTGTGTGTCTGAATGATGGACTTCCCAAACAAAATTGGATGTTTCCCTTTGGTTTCCCGTTGCAACAACCCCGGAAAGGGTACCCTCAGCAATATATGCAATGCCCCATGGCCACCTTTTACAGGAGCTCTAATAGTGATTTCACTTGACATGGTTTTTCCTTCCGTGGCCATTAATGTGGAGGGGAATTGTTTTGTTGGATTGGCCTGGCAGTTTACGGGGCAGGTCCCAGCTCAGAATTGCACTGAATGCACGATCACGCTCCCTATTAGCAAAGGAAATGGGTGGTTTGCCACAGGTGCAGGTCTGGGTTCAAAGTACGGGTTGCTGTGTGACACTGGTGGCGCCTAGCCGCCAGGGCGCCCCTACAAGCGCCGCCAAAGCTGCGAGCCGGGTTCGCGGGATGTCCAGCTCTGCAGGCGGGCGGTTTGTTGAGCCAGTTGTGGACTGTTTGAAGCATTCCCCTACACAGCTCATATTTTGTCCAGCTAGTCATTTCCATCAGATGCCCGGCATTTGGGCTTAGATAGTTTGCGATGATGCCCTCATATGCTGAGCTCACTGATTGGTAAACAATACGTCAACAAGTGGGTTGCTTGGTCAGGCAGTCGTTTGCCCCCGTTCCGGCCGATCATTTTGAGACAGTTGCGGGCTTCGAATTGCAGTTGCAGAGCCATGTGGTGGCGTGGAGTTTCATTGATCATGTTTGGCCATGTACTGCCTTGGACAATGAGAACTTGTCCTACTGACTTGCAAAAGTGCGTTTTTGGTAGGTCAAGCATCAGCCACCCCAGCTTTGACAGCCAGCAACCACGTACGTCCTTCAGTAGCAAACTGCAGGCTCAAGTCGCGACTTTTCCAAAGAGCTTGGCACTGCGCTGGCATTGCTGCAGTGACTTGGCCAAGGTCGAGTTTTGCAATCATTGGTTTGGTTGCGCATGTGCATGGTCAACAGCAGCCGGAGCAAGGATTCTGTGACAGACTACTTGTTGAATTTCGAAATGCTGTCTCTCCAAGTAACAAAGTGAGAATGCTTAGTCTTAGTCGTCCCAGTTGTAAGGCTGCAGGACTTCAGAGCCAGCTCTTATTTTGACTGTGAGCTATGTGCCCTTTGTTAATTGGCAGGGGGAGCAGTTGTGTTTCTCCGTGTGTCTATGCTGTGGCAAGCCCAGAGGGGCCTGCTGTACACAAGCTCTCATTTGTGGGATGTGGCTGGAGGAAGTGGCTGTGAAACGGTTGCGTTGATGCCTTCCTAGGCACGTGCCGGCAGCGGTTGCCGCAGGACAAAGCGGCATCACAGAAGTACCGGAGAAAGATGCCCTGGCGCAGCTTGAAAGCAAGGTGCGCTTATTTGTGCATGTGTGTGTGTGTGTATGTGTCGAAACAAATTCCTCTCCAAATGCATTGGTCCATGTTGCCCAAGATGGACACTGCCATTGGCCTCCCAAAAGCCTGGTGCGACCCAAGGTCACAGGGGACGGGGGTGCCAAACCCTGAAGGAGAAGTCATTCGGTCTCCAAAGCCTGTCCCGGTTGGAAGGTATAGAGAATTCTTCGGAGACAGCCAAGAGCCATGCCCGACATGCTTTGTTCTATGTCCCTCAGCTTGTTCTACCCTTTTGCCACGTTCGTAGAAGCCGCACACATCAGAGCGGCTTCAGAATTTAGGTCCAAGGCTAGTTGTTTCAGACAAGAATGGAGAGGGACAAAAGGATGTTCCAGACCCGAGTCAGTCTCAACCCTTTGCACTCCGGCACCGGAAGAGGCAGATACAGGGGTCGGTGGTTTCCCAACAGTGCAGTATGTACAGTAAGGTGTATGAAAATGATTGGACTCATCTTCCAGACCGGCGCACCAACACTGATCCCGTCATTTGAATTTGCTGAATGGTATGGCAATGATCTAGTCCAGCCGCCCTTTCCACGTCGAGTTTGAGGAGCTCATCAAGGCTGCCATTTGTCTTTCTTGTGTTAGCTTCCCATCTCATTCATGGTCCTCTTGATGGTGCAGCCATGACTTGTCATCGTGGTCCATCAGTTAAAATATTTGGACTTGAAAGACTATGAGACTCCCCGGAGTGATTACTGTTTACCATAATCGATCATTCTGGCCTCATGGAGATTGCACTGCAAAAGTCCCAGAGTCTTGGACCCCAGGATTGATGCCCAAATGCAAAGCAGTCGGACCGCTTTTCTCAAAGGGCTGCCTCAGCGGTTTCCAGTGTGCCTTGCCCGCTCCAAGTTTGCTGCAGCGCCGCGCCGACGTGCACGTCTTGGCCGGCGAGCTGCGGCGGAGCGCCCTGCACAGTGCCTCAGAGAGGCTGTCGCTTGAGGGTGGAGCAGTCAGATAATTTGCTGCAAGCTACAAAGGAATTTTCACAATGTCGCTTTGTTTCACGGTTTGTGCGAAGCTTTTGCTGTGGGTTTGGAGCTGGCGACCAGCAAGACGAGGCAATGAGCTAGGTGAAGGGGTCTCTCTATCAAACTCACAGCCATACGCTTGAAGCCTGCACGTTGCAGCCAAAGCAACATGTGTTTTGTCGGTCTGTGTGTTGTTCAATCGACGGCAGAGATGCCAAGCTTGCGGGGAAAGAGCGGAGTGGAGTGTAATTACAGGTGCTACGTGAAGCTCGTTGCAGAGCTTCTGAAGCGGCGGGCCAACCCCAACCAGGCCGACCTCGCAGGACTGGGCATCGACGATTTATGTTTGGCGCCTTGAGCGTTGTCACCTGAATAGCAAGTTGTGTGTTGGTCTTATGAGGTTATTTCCTGTCATTCATCATCTCTTACAGCAGCGTTCCAGGTTTCCCGCGTGGATTTCACAGTCCGTTTTCATGTTTTAATGTTTACCTCTGCCTCACAACCACGTCTTCAAGGTCGACAAAATATTGACCGGCCTTTGTCTCTTGCTGTTCCCGCCCTTTTGCCGGTGAGGAACGGGCCCGTATGCTTAAAATCAAACATGGAGATGCAAGGGAACGCCGAATTTTACTCTCAGGAACCCCTGCCGTGAGCAACTGTGTGCGGCTTCATTTCCTCATTTTGTTTTTGAGGGAAACCAAACGGACACCTTCCTCAATATCCTTTGGATTTCCTTTGGGCTTTGGGTCGTCCATTTCTTTCTGGTTTCCCATTTAGATGTTCCTCCCCCTTGTGGTTGGCTTCAGAGGAAATGGAGTCATGCTTTGTCCTTTTGAGATGAATTTAGCAGGAGAGACGCCGCTGCACACCCTGGCCCATGGAAGCTCCTGGTGTGACGCGGCGCCCAAGCAGCGCAAGGCCGCCATCCAACGCCTGGTTGAAGGCGGGAGCTTTTCGAACCCAGGGGGTGGGCCCCAACTAAGCGGAGACAGCCGCTTTTCTTAATGTCAAGTTCTCCAAGCCGCGTCCAAGCCTTCACTGGGACGGAATCAACAAAACTCCGAGGTGGAAGGTAGGCCCATCCCGGGTTCAGAGGGTCCGTGCTCATAGGAACCCCACATGGGCTGTTGCGTTTGATGTTGGTTTTGAAACCGGCCCAAATCGGGTACCCTACAGACAGCACTCCCAAGGGTGCGGGTGCTTTAAACTTCGCCTCTTGGGCCAATGGTGTTTGAGGCTTCGTGTTGCATAATTATACTCCAGGGAACCCTGTTTTAGGGATGGGGGGGTGGGGTAGGTCTGGCCACCAAACGGAAGACGCAGCACTCAACAAGCAACACACTTGTGCTAAAAGGGAGGCACATGATTGAGGTGAGTTGTGTCTAGAAATGCACGTGAACTTATTTAATACGTATGATTCAGGCGACGCAAGTGAGGAGTCGTGAGTTCCCCACCCGACAGGTTTGGGGTTGTTAGATTTTAAGTGACATCCAATCCGTATTGGCAGCGCCTTTGTAGTTGGGACGCGTTTTTGGCCAACTCCCCAACTAATTCAGTTTAGTTTTGCTAAGCAAATGTGTTGGGAAGTTATCGTCCGAAGTAAGATAGCTTCACAAGTAAGGTTTTTGGAGGGATCCACAGAACGAAATGATGCCGATATGCATTGATGTTAGTGTACCTTGGGTGTTCGTCGCGTTTGTTTGGCGATGAAGCTTGCAGCATCACTCCTTTGCACAGAGGTGTTTTGCTAGATCAGTTTGATTGACGATAGATGGGCCTGGGTTGCAGCTTAATTCTAATCATGTACCAGTGCCATCGATATTTCTACATGGACGCCTATGTTGTGCTCTTAATTTGGATCAGAGGCCTGCATGAGACTTTAGATGTCCCTGAAGGACCCATAAATGAAAAGCGGACCTCACTGGAATAGTTCCAGGTTTGGGCTGTATTGGGCCTATGGTAGGTAATATCTTGATGGCAACTCCTGTTTTATGCAAGGACCGTTTAGAAAGACATACGTACTGTTTCCGCACCTGGCCACACATCCACTGAGATGACCGCAAGATAGCCAACAAAGAAGCCATCGCAAGGTGCATGCAGATGCGGGATTGTGTGTATGGATGTGTTTTGTTGCGCAATTACGGTAGCCTCCGGTCACTTGGCTCTCTATTCCTTGACGTGGTCATCGAAACTGGTGAAGAACATACAACGTTCGCAGTAGCCTCAGGTTTACGGGTGCCCCATGGCCTCATTTTATTCGTGCCCCTCAATAAGGCATCGTTCAATGCGTAGGCGTATTCAGGGGACCGTAGACTCCGCCCAAAGGGTTTGCGAAGGGTTTGCGAACAATCGGCTATCGACAAGTGAAGCTGTTGTCACACTTGTAAGAAAGCTCAGGCCCATGCCCACGGCCAGCACGCAATAACCCGTGCTCGGCAAGACACACCGATGCTTCGACCGTGATGCATGAGGGGGAGATGTTGGGAACAACCATGTTGCGAATTCCGACTGAACATGGGTATGCCTCAAAATGGGGAACCCCTCCACTGGTGTTGGGCATGTTTTTCGTTGAGGTTTTCCCTATCCTGGAGACACATTTGGAGACTGGCCCACATTACGCCGTTGTTTGATGCCTTTCCTGGCCCCAGGCCAGGCAGACATTGACTTCGCCAACCCACGGGGCCGCACCCCGCTGCACGTGGCGCTCCTGGCCTGAGAAAGCGACTGGGGCAGTCGAGGTTTGTAGGGTTTGCTATGTATGGATGCTGCAAGCCACGTGGTTTCCTGTGTTCCCTTATCACCCTTCAGCCGAATTGCCACATGGTCCCAGCCGGACCTTACCACTCAAGGAAAAAGACCCAAATGTGGATTAACTCGGGAGTGATGGAGGGATGGTTTAATACATGAATGGTATACTGAACGTTGGCTTTGCATAGCAGGGCCTGGTCACGTTGCGAATCAGGGATGCTAATACTTAGGCGACTTCTCGCTCGGGCTTGTTGTTCAGGTTAGATTGGACAACAGGGCTGACCATCGAACCAGCAAGTATTTGCCATGGTTTCAGGTTTGTAGGTCGTTTCTTAGCCACAGCTTGACAATATGTGAGCCAACATTTGACCAAGGCGTGTGGTCTAGAGTGTAGACCTTTGTACCTTAGTCATATACTCCCCTGCAGATCTACATGGAATCCAAGGCTTCTTTGAACAGGAGATTCTGCCACAATTGATTCATAGTCCCTGAGGTTCATGTAAATCAAATCTGCAGGACTGTAAACTGTAAACTGATCTCTTCCTATGATGATTGCCAAAGACCAGGGGTTTAATACAGCCACTATACATAGCTTCACTGTGTAAGGGCCTCATATCAAGGTACATCCTATTGAACCCTTGGGCTGCTCGTTTGAGGGCACTGGAAATCGTCTCAGCCTCTTTGGTTTCAGGGTGTGACTTATGGCAGGTGCATCCCCATTCAGCTTGTGGCAGGCGGTGCAGAGCAAGGACTTCGCTGCACTCGAAGCGCTTCTGGAGGACGGATATGGATAATGTGAGCAAATTCTTGTTGCAAAGAGTCCATGGTCATCATGTACCGTCAAGCGGATGCCATGGGGAGAGCTCAATTTGTGATTAGGAAGCAGAGGCTCCACTCACCAAAAGGCCTCCATATCCCAGCCCGTTTTCTGCAATTTCGCCTAGCTTACTGAGGTCCTAACTTAAGGCCTCGTTGATCCGTTTGTTCAGTGTCGAGGTTGCAAAGGTAGGCAGGGGACTGGCAGCCAGTTCTTCAGCATCCACTTTTCTCCGTTCCTTGTTTGGGAGCACCCCGACAGACAACGAAGGAGCAAAGCAGGCCCTTTTCCCCATAAACCTGGGCAAGGCATCAGGAGAGTTTAGATGATTGCTTGCTTGTGCTTCTTTGCTTCCACCAACAGAGTTCCGAACCCGACCCCGTTTGCAACTAGCCCAAAATTATGCAAATGGCTCTGTTTTTTGGGTCCGCTGACCGGCCATCCCTCTTTTTTGCGTATCATGCGCACTTCCTGCTGCTTGAACCTTTGTATGGTGGTGCCCCGTGAGTTTGCACCGTATGACGCCTTCAGCGTACATACCCCAATTAAATGGTCACTTCTTGTAAGTAGCTTGTGTGGTGAAGCATGATGGCTTCTAGGAGCAGGCCGATGTGAATGCTGCGGACCTCGGTGGGTTCACTGCCCTCATGTGCCTCGCCTGGCTGCTTTGGCTCAGGACAGTACACCACCACCGGCATGATCTGTGGGTGGCCGACTTGCCCTTTTCTTTTTGAAGCCACTACTGTGCCTGAGGCAGTCCTTCTCCAGTTCACCACATCGCTATGCCTGGCTGTTTGCTGCATTTGAACTGAAGAATGAGACAGTTTGTGCATGTCCAAGTGTCCCACTCTTCCAACCGAGAAACTGGCCATCACCGCCGATACCTGGAGCCATCCCGCGCTCAGGTGGGCTGCAGGCCGCGGCAGCGAACAGCAGGTTGCGATGCTCCTAGAGGCACGCGCGCAGCTGAACCGCACCGCCAACCGCCCGGAAGCCCATGGAACATTGAAACCACAAAAGCTTTAAATGCAAACCAACGTAGAGGAAGTTCTCTCAGGGGGACACCCGGTTCCATATGTGTCTCAGCCAGCCCTCCCACCCAAGCAACGAGCCAACCAGCTGACAGGTACCTGTCGACTGTCGCCGGCGCACTTGACTCGACGTTGACATGAACACCAAGAAGATAATTTGGTTGGATTGGTGAGCTGACGCATCAATTTGCCAAGGCTAGTGAAGCAGATCACTTCTCACGAATTCGTTTAGAAAACTCCCAGATCTCCCAGCTTAAAGTGCAAATTTCAATTTGATTCAACACATCGCACAAATCCCGTGAGGGATTCCATTAAGTTCCATATCCATAGCAACAAATACTGCAGTGTTCAAAACTTTGTGCCCGCCAAAGTGTGGAGGACGATCGTCGTGGAAACCTCCTGGCACCACCCTGGAGCCGCATTAATAGGTGGACTTTGCCCCAGGATATAGGGTTTTGGCCTGCAATCATAGGAGCTGGTGGGGAAGAGCATGGTCCGGTTCTGCCGTGAAGGCAGTGTACAGAACTGAGGCGGACAAACAGCTTTGCTTTTCGCTTTGACCAACAACTGTGACGATGCTGCCGCCTCAGATGGGCGGCTTGCCTCAGTGCCTTGCAATGCGTTGTGGTGTTGTGTGCTTTGTTGGTTGCATTATATATGTTCTGTCAGGATACACTGAATACGTAAGAGCGAAAAGGCAAGGACAACAACATGTTCAGCATCACAACAGGCATGGCGATTTGACAGGACAATGTGCCCAAGATTGACAGGTAGCTCCGGTTTGATGCAGCCATTCTTGCTAGTCACTGCCTCATGCTCCTTAATATTCGCCCATAGAATTCAAAAGGACAACCACACATTCTGGCTGGGTTCCCTTTTAAATTGAAGCCCGGTTTCATCGGCCTTCCAGGTTGTGACTGCCCTGCAAGAGCGGGCTGCGCTGGAGGATCGGAAGGCCCGGCTTCAGCAGAAAGGCGGTGCAACGGAAAACAGCAAGTAGTTCAATGTGGAAAGACAACTGAGCTAAAAAAGCCCCCCTGTCAAGCAAGCGTTGTGTCATGGCAAGGCCCCATGGAAGCAAAACCCTGCACGGCATAAGCCGGCGTAAGCACCTTTATGAGAAACATGCTGCATAAGCGCCCGCGCAAGTTCTGCTTAGCGACTGCTTGCAATAGCCGCTGAAAGTGGAGGGCTCAGCCAGCCCGTTAGCAGGTGTAAGCAGGCCCGTAGGGTGTGCGTAAGCTCGCCTAGCACGCTGCCTGCTCGCCCACGCAATGATGTGGCAAAGGTTGTTCCTTGATCTGCAGTGGAGGCAACGCGAACTCAGGAAGCAAAGTTGTCGGCCAAATTCAAAACGCTGGGCCAGAGGGCTACAAACTGAAGTCAAAGGCCCCCCCCCAAAAAAAAAAACAAGCACATCGCCAAGAGTTCACATGAGAGCAATTCTTCATGAACTTCCTCCTCAGAATCATGCACGCTACTAGTATCTTGAACAGTGACTGCTGCATAGAAAAGGGAGCCCGCATAAGCAATTCTTGAGGGGACAAGCTCAATTCACCGACGCGTAAGCAACGTGAAAGCTTGACATCCTCGCTGACTGCCGTGCAAGCTAAAACATGGGTCCGACAAGCAAAGCGCTACAGTCCAAGCGCTGTAAGAATTCGGTTGGTCGAGGTCCAGGGTGCGCAATTTCTTAACGTCCATTGTGTGAGAAAGAGGCATTGTATGTACCACTCCGGAACTGGGGGCTGATTCTCTTAGCAGGCTGAATTCTTAACCTGTCTTGATCTGCGCGCTTCTTTGCTGGCTGACTCGAGTTCCTGGGCCATTTGTGCATTCGGCAGCATCAGAACTTGTGAAACCCAGTGAGTGGCTTAATTTCTTGGCGGCCCGTTGGGTGACCCCCCGCAAAGAAATTGAATTCCTCACCAGCAGGGGGTCAACCGAAAGGCAGGCCCATCAAACGAAAAGGCCAATAAGAAATTGATCCGCTGAGTTTCTCAGCGAGGAGGCCCATCAACCAAAAAGGCCGCTAAGACATTTGTAGCCCTGAACATGCCAGCGTAAAGCGGAAGGCCGCTAAGAATCGAGCCCCTGACTTTCTCCAGCGAAGAGGCAACAATGTAGCAAGGCCGCTCGGAAATTGAACAAGAGGCCCATCAACCGCAACTGCTGAACTTCGCGCCGAAATTGTCTGACAGAGCCGTCGGCATAGTGGCATTTCACCCACCCACATGAATGCAGCAAACCAGGCATTTATCAGTTTGGCCCGCTTTGGCGGCCTTTTCGGCCCCCACTGCTCAAAGGTGCCTTCTCGGGAACCTGGTGCGCTACCAAATTTTGCGCTTATTTTCTCAGCCTCTTTGCTTGCACCCCCTGTTGGTCGTGAATGCCTTGAGGAGCCACTCACTTACGGCTTTGTCTTGGCGGCATCTGTTTTTTTCTGATTTTTTTTTTTTTTTGTTTAAATATTTTTTGGGGGGGACAAGTTTGCTGAGAAATTGGTCGAGCAAATCCAGGGACGTTGTTTTTGCCAGTCAATGTCTTCTACACTGATTTCTTGTGCGTTGCTTGCTCGCGCGCAAGCAACCTTCCACAATCTACCCTTTGGGGTTCATTGCTTATTTATAGATGAAACAGCTGAATTGCTTACATAGCTGAAAGGCGGAGTTTCTTTCAGCTGATTTCTCAATAAGGATGACAATTAAGGAAAGCCAACCCCTTTTCTCCATCGGAGGGCAACAACAAATGTGTGAGTCGGTATTTGATGGAAGTCTTCAGGTGATTCGCTGATTTGTCTTCTGGGTGGCCTATAGAGACTCTGTGCAGGCTTCTTTTGCACCCCCCCCTCCCTCTTCTCCCTGAAGATCATTCGAGAGAACATGATTACTGTACAAATAAGAATGGGATCGGCTAGGGCTAAAACGAGCTTGTTCATGATCAAGGTAGTTTATTGTGGGGCATCAAGGTCCTTTACTGGAGAATCCATGTTTTGCAGCTAGGGAATTATGATGGTAACATGTACAGATACACATGATAACTTTCGCAACCATTGCAAGCAACGAGGCGCTGCTAGTCGCAGAACAAACTTGAATGTGTTTTTGTGTGTTTTTCCTGCTGCGTTCGGCAAGTCTACAAGAGTCGCCTTTTATTGGGCCACGTTCCCATTTGGTCGTCCACAGCAAGCACACATTCGCAGCGGTCATGTGCATTCTCGGCATTGACATGGCAGGCTGAGGAGTCCAGGGCTTAGCCTCGGCTGATTGGAAGTGCGCTGATGGAAGAACTCTACGTGAATCGGCACTTGTTCTGACAGATCACCAGACAGTGCTGCGTCCTTCCCTTGAGGTGGGGCGGTTTCGGTGTTGAAAGGGCCGGGTTGTCGATTGAGATTTCTTTTTGCGCAAAAAACCTTTAGGCGTGCAGCGTACCCTGCCGTGGAGGCGCGGCCGGAGCAGCCATGTCGCTCGAAGACAGCAAGATTCTTGGGAGGAGTGACCAACAATGACCAACATTTGATTGGAACACTGGCATGCCTTGAAATGGCTGTGTCGCTGGGCAAAGACAATTCTCATGTTTGTGTGCGTGCCTTGAAGCCTACCACAAAAAACAAAGCTCTCCTAAAGTCAGAACATCGCGACCCTTTGAGGCTGAGCAAACGTTCATGCTGACCCCCTGTCCCAAAGCACCAAACAAAAAGGATGCCTTGGATTGTGGAATCGCCAGTGGGGACGTTTGGCACTAGCACAGTTGGAGGTGTTAACCTGTTATTAACATATCTGTTGGGCCTGCGGCCTCTAGGCGGCTACGCCTCATTGAAGTTATACCATGTCATGTCGCGTTTTTTGTTTGTTTAATGAGAAACGTATCCTGTGCTATGATATGGCTGGTTACGCTATGCAGTTATGCATATTGCCCACTCCAGCCCCAGATGATGCCGGGCAGCTTTCTGGGCCCCAGCCGGGCCCAAACCAGAAGGTTCACATGGGGTCCCGCGCACGCACGCGCCAGAGGCCCCAGAACGAGCAGCCCAAAAAGAACAGCCCGCAAGCCAGCCCGGACACGCAAACGCAACAAAACACCGCAAATAGCAGCGTCAGAGGGCCCGAAAGCCAACGGGAACAAAGCAAGGACCGCGCAGCACACGAGCCAGCCACAACAAAAGCAAAACGGACAGAACAACAGCCCGCCCAGCATCGCCGGCATGCCCGGCAGCGCTGGGAACCAAAATGCGTGAAAATGAGCCTTGCTTCTATCCCTTCGGTAGCTCCTAAAAAAACAGTGCTTCATGGGCTGAGAGGCTTTTTGGAAGGAAGTCTCGATGATGCAGACCAAGCCCCGCTGAAGCATCACCAAAACCCAGCCCCACACCCTGATGATGTCAGCCACACGGCCTAAACCCTGCACATACGCTATGTTTTGCAAGGGTTTCCCACAGGCAAGCAAAACCGCAAGCCCGAGCTGGTGATGCAGAGGTGCCGGATTTAGGCAACGCATCACGACCAAGTGATGAGGGTCGGCGGCACACGGGCGAAGCCCCAAACAGCAGCTTTTGAGACTCGTTAAGAGAGTTGCCAGGGCACCGGCAGCAAGCCCCAAAGCTCGGAAGGTGGCGCCAGCCAGCAGCAAGAGCACGGCCAGAGCGCGGCCGCCTCTGGCACCCAAGCGCAGTGGCACAGCGTGCAACAATGGGCAAAAAAGACGGCAGAGAGCTAGCAGCCAAAGCCATTGCAATGGAGCCTTCAGTCCTAAGCGGGGTCGGCGGATTTCTTGTTTTAGCCGTGTGCTTGTTTTTCCCAGCATGCAAAGTATAGTAGAGTCAACACCGTCGAGGTTTGTTCCACCAAAGCTTGGGAAGTAAAAGGGGGGAGGAAAACCTATGTTGATTGCTGTTCAAGTGATTGTGTTCAAACAAAGGAAAACTCTCTCCACTTTAGGCACCAACATCGTTTTCGCCGTGGCGACCGGAACCTTTTCGTGGAACACTCTGCAGGCAAGGACTAGACTCCTGTAAGCTCTAGACCGTCGCCTCCGTAGATCAATCACAATCTATGCCCTTATGGACCTATGGAGATTGCTTCCCTTTTGAACAAGCTTGGGGTGTGTTAGGGCAAAACAAGTTAAATGGTCTTCAAACCCAGCTTATGGTGTCCACACTACGGAAGCAAACCCATAACCCGTGAAAACTGCCGCAATGGCTTCTGAATCAAGCCCGGTGCTCTTGTTGAGGTTTGAACATCTTGCAAACTACCGGTAGGCCCTCTCAGGATCATCAACCCATTTGAAAACAAGCGCGGCAAGCTCGACCTCTGTGTGCTTGTGTTAGGCGCTCCAAGAGCCGGAGGAGTGTCCGCTGGGATGTATCGTTTGGGGAGAGAGAGATTGGTTTAGGCAGCTTTACCTTGCAGCCCTTTAACGGGAAATCTACATGAGGATCTTTAGGTGTTGGTTTGAACATGTTTGAGCAGCTGTTGGCTGGTTGTCTTTCATGAGCAGTGAAGACAAGTTGCACGCGGCTTTTTGCCTGATCAAACTGCCACAGCACCTAACGGTCATTTTTTTCTAGTCTGCATGCTTTCTTCAGGTTTCATGTTTGCGTGATTTGGTTGATCGGGCCGACGAGCAACTCGGGGACAACAACTGTTGAACATGTTCAGGGTGTCAATGACATCCCTCCCGGCAAGAGCAAGAAATGTGATTTGAGGGGAGTGACATTTGTGTTCTCGCAGAGTTTTGCAATTGTTCCAGTTGTCACCCAAAGACGCAGATTCAATTTCGTCAATGTGGAGTAGGACCCCTTGGAGCAGATGTGTGTTTGCCCCGCTTAATACAGCCGTTTCGGGAAAAAGACGAACAATGGCCCGTAAAAGAGTTGGATTCTTCTGGGTTTAATCCTTGATGTCTTCAGCTTTCGGCAGTGCGTGCGAAGAATTGCCACCTTGCAGGACGCGAAGTGCGCGCAGATGCACATGCCCTTTATGGGGAAGGTGCCGCTGATATTGAATTAAATTGGCTCAATGCCTTCCAGGAAACTGCTAAGTCAAGTCACCCTCAGCCTCATCAAATTTGGCAATGGCGATCCTCTTGATTAACTGATTCAATGAGAGCTTCTGGGCATGGAACAAGACCCCGGGCGGCAATTGGTCAAGCTATAAAGTAGTCTACAGTCCATTTGGGAGAGATATGTCTACAATGACTTACTCAGTTTCCGACAGAAACCGGCGACTCAGGAATTAATGAATGCCCTGTTATCGCTTATCTTGACCGTTCGCCTGCCACAAACGGGTGCATCATGCTTGAGGTGAAGCCGCGCTTCGCGCCGGACCTCAGCTCCGCCTCCTACGGTGCGAGCGAAGCAAAATGTGCGGAGCACGGCACCGCGTGGCATGTTGGCCAAGGGTTGCTCTCACAAGCGGAAGGCACCCAATGCGTGTCGTTTTTTCACCGAACCTCAAGACAATGACCAAAGACAAGGCCTTGCTTGTCCCAGGAGCAGATGTCTACTCTTGTGACCGGATCTTCGGAAGACTGTCCTTTTGAAAAGACGGGTAGCTGCCCACTTCCATGATTGTTGGAAACCAGCGAAAAGGGATATCAGCGGAAAATACACATGTTGGGTTTCCCATTTTTTGGACAAACACATGTAGACAGATAGCTCGCAGAGCCTAGGTGGTTCAAGCCTGCGGTTACCTCCCCTCCAGGCCTCTTGGTGTTTTGATATAATCAACCTTGCAAACGGTAGCTGCCTGGATGAGCTGTCCCACGGTGCCATAAAGTTGATCTCTGTTTCAAGGTCCCACCGGGTTGGTCTTTTATTTCCGTGCCAAAGGGCAGATGACATGGCAACACGCCTGGGCGAGCTTCCTTGCGCGATGGAGCCTCCGGAGTGCACTTGGACCTTTGCCAATGACCCCATTCAGGGCCACGAGCTGCAGGCCGACGGAACAGAAGATGTGCGGTTTGATGCCATGGTTGCAAGACCCCTTTGATGAACTCGTAGGTTGTAGCAGCATAAGTGTTCCCACTGAGGGAACCGTGATCATGGCCTACAGAGGGAGCTTTGACCACCGCTTACATTGGCATGATTTCAGTTGAAAGTCACATCAGTGCAGAGGGATTGATGCGCATCGTTTGAATTTGCAGAACATGCTGCAATGAAGGTACTGATTGTAGTACTGTCCAGAGGGCGCGAAGGACCTTTCAAGTTCGCCTGAAAGCCACTAGAAAACGTCTAGAACTGTTAACATGCGGCCGTTGTTTGAAGCAGGCCTTGGTGGCTTGATGGAGCAGCACACCAAGAAACAAGGTGTCTGATTATTTACCCTCATCTTCTAGCAGCGATATGTGTATTTAGTCTTCTGAGTATTCCCAGGCTTGGAAAGCAAGCAGGACAGTCCAGCGGTCATGCTTGGCAGGGCTACTGGGGCAATCCCATGTGCGCCTACGCCAAAGACCGCAATGTGCCATGGCTTTCAGAGAATGCTCAGGATGTGCTACCTTTCTATTTTGTTTTTCTTTGAGGGCCGATAGCTACTCTGTCTTAGTATAGCACTTTCAGCAGGTTGGGATTGGGGCACGCTTGGGGTTGGTGGGTGTTTGGGTGGCTTTAGGATGGGTTTACGCTGGGTTTTAGGGTTGGCCCAGCATGAATTTCGGGTAAGTGTGCGTTGGGTTAGAGTGAGTTTCAGGTAGGTTTAGGGTTGGTTTGAGGTGGGCTCGGGTTGGGTGGTTAAGGTTCGGTTTTGCGCTGGTGAGTTTAGGGATCGGTTTTGGGTTGTTTGGGGCGGACTTTCAGGTTCAGAGTTGGTTTAGGGTGGGTCTAGGGCAGGATAGGACATTTAGGGAATGTGTTTGGGATGTGTTTGATGTTTGGTTTGGAGGGCAAGTGTTTGTTTCCCCCACGCGGGCAGACAGAGCTGATCGAGGCTGATAGGTTGACGCGTCCAACAACGCGATGCTCTTTGGCAACACAATTGTCGGAGTGGAGCATGACATATATACCGCTGCTTTGATTCGCTCTGCAAAGAGCAGATGGCTCCATCCCCGACTAGACGGTGGCTAACAACTCCAAGAAGTACGCCCGAAAAGCTTGCAAGACCGTTTGGAGCTATAGTCAACTGGCGTCACCATAGACACAGACTTGCTTTGGCATACGCGTTGGCTCCATGCGCCCAAGCTGCTTGCGTCCAAGCCCAGAGTCCAAGTTTCTGATTGGACTATGTCTGAAGCCCATTGGTTAGTTTCATGTATGCATTAGTTTGCATTTATGTGTTTTTCCAGAACTGAGCCATTGTCTTTGAGGCCATGCCCAACGGCTTCCGCCACGAGCTGATGCTCCGGCGCCTGGCGCTGCGCGTGGACGAGAGCGATGGCCAGCTGCGAGCCCGGGTGGCGCTGCGGCAGGCCATCGTGAGGTCCAAAAGAATTTGGAGTCAAAAGGAATTGGTTCTCATTTGATGTCACTTGTTGAAGCCTGTATGGTGGACACTCATCTCTTGGGGATTGCCGGCAAAATAGACAAGTGTCCATGGAACCCACCCACCCACTTAAACCAATCCGCACCCCCTCCGCCCTACCTCCCGGCACCTTTCGGGGGTGGATTGGGGCGATATTAAAAGGGAACCGTGACACAAACCCGTTTGCAATTCAACTAGCATTTGGCCCGCATTTAAGATGTTTGAGGGACTTACTCATTGAGGAAACCCCAATGTGGCGGTATTAGGATGGGCATGGGGGGATTGGAGCTTGGATGGACTTTTGGGTGAACTGTGGGTTGAAATCGCGAAGTGTCAAGTAGGTGGGGGGAGCAGGTAGGAAAACATACTGGGACGGCAATACTGATGAACACACACAACTGACCTGAATCATCACTGGTCTGAGTCATATCATGCAGGCGCTGGAGAAGTGATGTTCGATGAACAATGGAACTGCCTGATTCTTCCCTGTCCATCATAATATACATTACCGTCACATCAATGTTCTAGAAGTAGAAGGGCTGTCAACTTTCAGGTCTGATGGCAACCGGGTTGGTGGAATCAGGTCCCCCCAAACAAATCCAACAACACGTGGTACAGTACGTAGCATAACCGATGACTGGATACGACAAGATTCTCATTGGCTGCAGAAAGAAAGCGCAAAATGGTTCAAATGTCCAGGATGATTGCGAAGTTTTGCAAAGACCGAGTCACGGAATGATTTTTATTCAGGAAAGATGAAACGTGTTGCAAGTCCAGTAAGAGCCTTGCTAATGAACATGGGGTGTGGGCTACTTCAAACCAAAATAAGCCCTGATCAGAAGAGAGTACTGTGTATCAGTTTGTCGCCGCGCCATCTTATGGACACGGGCTCAGAAGCTCGACTTTTTCACACGATGCTTGAGCAAGAGTGGTTCCTTTTTTGAGGTGTTCCGTTTTAACAAACGATCCATTAAATTCCTCGTTGGGTGTTTGGGGGACTCTTCAATCTGTCTAGAACCATTGGGCGGATCTGCCTTTTTTTGGGATTAAGTGTTTCTTTCAAAGTTCATCCATTCCTTGGCGAAGGGGTGGTTCCCTGTTAAAGTATTCCAACCAGCAAAGGGGCGAGTCCTTTTCAGGTGGCGAGTCCTTTTCAGGTGCCCTTGTCATAACAACCGCGAAACCTGACCGGAGGGTTTTGCCCGACTACTTACTAGGGAAGCTCCCCCTGTCCACGTCCATGAATGTCCGAAAAGGCGTTTGTGGTTTCCCCGGCAGGAGAACGGTAAGGTCCCGCCCTGGGCTTGGCCAGTGGAGGGCCTGGCAGTCACTCGCCCAGACTTTGGCCAGGGAGGTCTCACGGGACCTCAGAGAGCTGGTCAGAGTTCTAAATGGGTCAGGGCCCCACACAAAAAAAGCGAGTTTGGATACCGCTTTTGACACTGACCCCCCAAAATGGTTGGTTTCCTGCGGGTTCCCTTTTGACACCAGCCAAACAGGTACCTGCGACAGAAAGACATACCCAACTAGATCAGTGGGTGTGGGTTTGGCTAGTTGAGGGTGCCTCCCTGAGCCATCCGAAGGCAAAGGCGCCAACCCAAATGAGCAGGGCCCAAAACAGTGTATGTTCATGTACGGGCGCGTGTAACAATGTTAGACCTCCCCGAGTAAAACAAGCTTGTTAAAGTCAGGAGCCTATCCCAAGGGTGGTTTTCTTTCAATTTTCTTTACACTCTCCAAAAGTTGGTGCCTCTTTTCATTTCAGACTGACATCCCCAAGCCCAAATAACTCAGGGGTTGACTGTATCACGTTGCACCCAAGTCTTGGGTGCTCCGAGGTGCGCCTCGTCTTGGCAGCGTCGCTCTCGTTGGAAAGCCCGGAGTTCGAGGCGGAGCTGCGGCTGGCGCATGGGTGCCCTGTGGCCTCGGTGGAGCTGCCTCGCAGGTGGGGCAGTAGAAAGGCAGAGGAAAGCCCCTGCTTTCCCAAAGCTGTTCGGACCGGCCTTTGAAAAGGAATGCAGTACGACGTTTGACTTTTCTGGCCATTGCTAACATGGGCTTAAAAAGCGGCTGTTGGCTCACTTCCTTGCGACACATGTTGAGCGTCCACTAGCGACGGAGTATCCACCAACGGAATCCAACTTGCTGAGCGGGTTGTTTCAAACCCGCCGTTCTGGCCTGTTTTCCCTTAGTGGCTGGGGGTTGAGGGTCCTGTATTGCCAAACTTGGCTGATTTGTTTCCAGCACTTTCGCACTGACCAAAGGCTTCCAGTGGAACTCGTCCGGTCACGTGCTTTTTGGGGCATCGCGAGTAGGGAACAATGAGGCGACCATGTTCCGTGATTCAGAATATGATTTGTGGCTGGTACACTTGAATAGCATTCGGAGAACCACCCGAAAACCCTTGCTGTGGTCTCGAGCTGTTTCAAGGATGATATGGCCTGCGCGAAGTCCCGACTAGCCGCTGGAAAATGTAGGGCAATCTCTATCCGAGACGCGCCCAAAATCTCCGCAGGCCATTTTTGGAGTTGGTTCTCCCATCTAGCGTCATGGAGTTTATCCGGTAAGGCCTATGCTGTCTCGTTTAACTTACAGATCTTACAGTATGACGTCGGTAGCGCCCGTAGTCAACGGGTTTCGGGACGTCGCCCACGTCGCCCCGCGCGCAGGGCGCAGGTGCTGGTGGCCCATGCCCTCAGCCTGCAGATCCTGTCGGCCTTCGCTCGCCTCGAGCCTGACGGCCCCAGGCGTGTGCGCACACGCAAGAATGAAACGGCTCGACACGAGCATTGCTCAGTCCAATGGCACCCTTGTTCCATGCTTTTTTTTTCATTTTGGTGGGTTCCCCTCCATTTGCCTCTGATTAGTTTGCCCCTGCCCAAGGTCGACAAGGTTCCGAGAATCCGGATTCGGGAGGGTGCCCTCTTCACGTACGTTCCGGGCCCTTTCCTGCTTGTTGGACCCCCTTGGGCCAACAGGACTGGAATGGAAAGTGCCAGGAAATTGTGCAGGGCTGGGAACAGCGCAGTCAGTTCAGCGGCAGATTGAGTGTTTCAACCAGTGCTTGCAAGTGAATCGCTTGTTCCATGGAACACAGACTTTGTGTGCAACATGCTAAAGAGTCCTGGAAAGGACATTGACGTTCATAGTTACCAAAGAATGAAGGACCGCTCTGTATGTTCCCAGGTAGCCCCAAGCGGATGGACGCCTGCGAGATGCATACCCTCCTCCCGACCCTTGTCCACACGTCTTGGCCGAAACGAAGGTATGGTTTTTCTCAACGGCTGCATTGCACCGTGCCAGGTATGGGCTTCTGTTCCCCCTGCCCTACCGGCTGCAAGAAGTGGCTTGGAGCGTTTGGAATGCGTTTGGGGGCCTTGTAGGGTCCCTCCTACGTTCCAATACGGTTTCTCACTTTGATTAGTTTAAAGTCATGTTGCTTGGGTGAGATTTCAAAGGCGAAATCTAGCGATCTGTGGGAGGCAAAGCATCTACCCAGGTTTAGTGCAATGATTTTGCTTTGAAGCATCCGCATGGCCTCTTGCGCCGCGGTCTTGAGTTCAGTCAGGAAAAGGCAAATTGTCACACTCTGGTTCACGCTGACAAGTCTAACACATCACTGTCCGCTTCAGGAAGGACCACTATTGATGACATTTTTGGGAAGAGAGATTGCAAGAGAATCCTATGGAAAGCTTTGCACTGCGATTTCCTTATTTCTGGATACCAGGGACACCCTTCAAGAAGCCCCGGTTTTGGAATCCACATTCTTATTTCTATTTTTGCCCCTTTTCCAATACCGATTCAGAGCCATGGCAGGTCGAGACATGGCAGGGTCATGGCGCTACTGGCCGCTGATAGAATCACTAACCCGCACAAAAAGCCACAATAGCCCCCAGTGATTCGGCTATGAACCAGCATGGGGTTGCCCCAACATTATGGGGCCCAAAATGATATTTTCTTTTAGTTTCCTTTTAACTTTTGAAGCCAACCATTTCGGCAGCGCGCGACTCATCTGGCGGTGATTGGCCGTGTGTCAGAATTGGGGGACCCCCAAAATGGCGGTTGTCCGTTAAAACCACGGCAACCTTCCAAGATAACTTTCCGTATCGACTTTACACGTCTCAGGCCAGCTTGCTGCAGCTGCAGCTGGACTCCGACCCGCGCCTGGGCGATTCGTCCGGCGTGGGTGGTCCTTGACACGAAGTGAGTTCGCCTCCTACTAAGCTGCGTCACAACTCAATGTTCACCCTACATATTGTTTCTATGACTGGATAGTCACACAAAGGCGGTCTTGTTCCCGCTCGTGGGCAAAGGATAGCAGCCTCCACTTGCGGCTATTGTTTGGCTCGTTGTTTCTGTCCGGGTGGAGAAGAAGCTGGCTTGAGCAACATGCACTTTCCCTTTTCTCAACTCTCCCATGAAATTTCCTGGCCGGAAGCGAATACAATTGCCCATCTGGCACAGTTGCAATTCAGATTCAAGAGTTCTGCGAGGCCACCAACGAGCCAGGTTCCTGGACAGACAAGAGCGGGAATGTATTTCCCTTGCTGTCTCTTTGGCGGAATATGTGTGAGTCCCACACCTCGGGTTCCAAACGCCTCGGATGCGTCGGATGTCAGCCTCCAGGTACCTGATCCTGCCCATGGCCGTACCTCCCAAAGAGCTGGACGACATCGAGTTCCACGACCCCTGCTGCCACGAGTCCACAGGCGGGTGTGACGAGGGAGCCCCTTTTGAGTTGACAAGCTACGCGAGAATAGAATCCACGCTTCCCTCCCGACACTCGCCTCTATCAATTTGCGGCACAAGCAACCCACAAGCTCCTCAAAGATCCCGGGCAAAATGCGGGCGATGAATTTGCAAAGCTATTTGACGCAGCAAATGCCTCCCCGCCTGTTGCAGGTTTGCCACTGGTTCTCACTGGCATCCTCTCCCGACGGTATGCCTGGGTGTTCCTTCTACACTTACGCAAACAGATACGGTTGGTGTCATCTTCGATTACCTGCGCGCAATGTTTTGGAGTTTCTTTTCTTTGTTTCCGCTCAAGAGGAATGGCCACACTTGGGATTGAACCCAGGGCCTTCCGCATGCGAAGCGGATGTACGCCATGTACCCCTGCTGCTGTGCTGAAGCTTCGAGGAGGGTAGCCTGATTGCAGTCGCCCTTGCTTTTTTGGGACCTCCTCAGCGACAGCAGGGTGGGGAGTTGCGTGGCATCAATTATACCCAATTAGACCCGCAGACCAGGGTCGTGGAAGTGTTTGACCGCGGTGATTCGAATGACGTCATGAAGGAGACCGTTTGTTGCACAAGACATGAAAGCAAGCGATCTAGTCCACTGTGTAGACCTCATTGGCGTTTGCTAATTGTCCTTAAAACTTAAAGGTGACAGCGTGACTGCGAAAACGAAAGGTGCAACTCCAGCAGCCACTTCCAGCCCTTGGTTTCGCTGGATGGGTGTCTCTTTCAGCACCTTTTGCTTGGTTTCCGTGTTAGTTGGAGCCGTCGCCCGCGTCAAGTGGAACTGCCCATGTGAGTTAGAACCATTTCTATCTACCAAAGCCTTGTTCACCTACATTTGCCATCCAGTGTTCCCAGGGTAAGTGAATCTCTTATTGTTTGACTTGAAACAAGGCTTGTTTTGATAGGCGTGCTTCCCATCAATTTTAAATAGCAGCACAAAAGGCAAAAGAACGACGTGGGATTATATAAGTTCCTTTACGGAGGGTGTGCGCTGCCCTTTTTGCTAATTACTTGGCGGCCCCTCCTCATCCTTTTGAGTCCAATCCATGCGGTACCCTCAAACCGATCTGGGACAGGCTCTGACATTTGGGATCCTGGGCTGGTGCTCGCAGCCGCTCTACCACAGCTGCTGGCCGCGGAATCCAGGCTCGGGGCGCGGCAGATTTGCTCATGCGCTGCATTTGTACGAGAAGGCATGCTTGTCAGGCGGAACATTTAGTCTGACCTTTCGATCCCTTGCCAGTTGTTGGGTGACACTGACTTGATCTAACGCCTTGCACGTGTTTGCCCCATACAACAGATGTTTTGGATCCAAACAAATCACTGCTGTGCATGGTTGTTCCAGAAATTATATGATTGCATATATATATATATATTGTTCATGTATAATAATGTGATTTATTGCGGACAAAATAATTGTTGCTGACTCGGAACGCAGCGATTTGTGGAGCAGGGACAGTGTTAGTTTTGCGCCAGGTAGTCGCCAAGGCTCTGGAAGAAAAACATATTCATAGGTTTTCCCGAAATGGAGCAGGTGTCCGAACTGTCCCTCTGTTTTTTGAGACCTCCAATTGTGGCAGTTTCATTGGATAGCAAATTGCAACTTAAGGGGAAATTCCAGTGACAGCGGAGTATTCCTCCAAAAGACTATCCACAACAGGAGGAAGCTGCCTCATTTTTGGAATCGGATCTGGTTGTTTCGAACTTGCAGTGGAAGTTGCTGTGGATCGCTCTCTGAGCAGATGGCTATCGAATGGCACATTGCTGTCGTTTCATCATTGAAGATCCAACTTTCAATCGTAGCCTCTCTTATCAGACAGCCACCTGCTGCCTCGTGTTGAGCATTCTTTTCAGATGCCTCGCTAATCTGGTTTTCCGATCATGTGGCAAGCGGTCTATGGATCTGGAAGCGCTATACCCTTGCTTGGCCTATCTGCCCTGTAGGCTGCTTGTCAACCGCACCCCACACACACACACACACACACACACTCACACAAACACACATAGTTTTGCCCCAAACCCGATCTTAAGTGTTGTCAAAATTGCATCGTAGATTTGGGACACACGGAGAACCGGGGGGGGGGGGGGGAGAAGCAATGCAGCCTTACATAGCTAAAGCATTCTCTCACCTCATGTTGGGGTCTTTCTGGGGTATATGCAGGCAACTCTCTATGTGCTGCGCTGATTTGCGTCAGGCCGCAACTGGTTCTTGAACTCGGTGCTGGTCTTTCCCTCTGCGGATTGGTTGCTGCCCTCTTGGGTCACTTGGCCTTTGGAACATGGGTGAATAGCAACCTCAACAGAGGGAAGCAACAATTGCATGGCTGCAGATTCCAAGAACAAGAATGGGATTGCCTCCAATGTGGAACCCCAACATGGGTGTTTCCCCTCAAAACCGCTCAAAAAGAGAGCTCAAAAAACGATAAGCCTCTTGCATTTGCCGCTTCAAGAGTTGGTTGGTGTGCACTCAGATGAAGGCAATTGCCGTTTTGTGCTACTGGATCGAAACGGATCTCGAGCCATGCCTTTGTCAATCATTGTTGTTGTACAAGTCCTTCAAGAGCCGCCAGCAAAAGCAATACATGTGTCCCCAATGCCCCTCACCTTACCGCAGACAGCAACAACACGATGTCGCCTAATTGGTGTTGCAAAAAACCGAGGACATGACTGTGTTGCCACAGATGCGGAAATGGCGATCGCGACTTGGCAAGTGTAGGCTTCCCTTTCCCTGATGCGCATGGCAATAAAGTTGCCTCAATGAAAGCCGGGTGTTAATGCCAGTTTGGGGATCTCGAGCCATTCTCCTTTGGCCTTCAAACTGATACAAGTCAGATGTTCACAAGCTGAGAGTAATCTAGTTGCATTGATTCCGTGTTCAGAATGGCAGGCAACCAGAGCACCGGAAAGGAACATGTATGTATGGTACTTCGGTGGCTTGCAAGTGAGGGTCCACTGATCATTCGTTCGGCACGCGTTCGTTTTGTGCCATGGGGGTAGCCTCCTGGCTTTAGGAATTGTCTGAGCCAGCCCCACGATCACCTGATTGGGCCCGAGATCAGGACCACACATTCCCTCTCCGGATTGGGGAAGGCTCCTTGTAGGGAGAGGTTCCGAAGGACAACCATGAGACATTTCAACTCCCTTTCTGCTTGGTGGGCTCTCCACTCAACATGGTCCAGAACAGATTCCATTTTTCCCAGCAGGGTCATCACGCAGCTGGGATAACATTGGCCACTTGCCTGGTTTCTCGCCCAGGCTTCCACGCGACAAGCTGGCGAGGAGAACGCTGGGTTGCTTTCGAGCGCCAACGCGCGATGGCGGGCGGAGGCGCCGCGCGTGCCAAGCCGTGTCTCCTTTGACGGAAGGCACCTGCTCTGAGTTGGCTTCTATGAGCATATTCGACGAAATTATCAATTGTGTGGTCGTCTTGGTTTTGAGGGCCAGTCTTCGGCAACCGACCTTTGTGACCTTTGTGACCTTGTTTCCTTTTGCTGTCCCTTTAAGCGTAACACCTTGAACTTTGTGAAAAGCATGGATTTGGGCAAGATGATCTGTGTGCGCCTGATCCACCGATTGCTTTGCAAAGGAACATGGACCCCAAAACAAAGGAGTGTCCTCTACAAACGGATCGGCATTTTTGGGTTCCAGATTGAACTGCAAGGGAGTATCTCGGGAAGCACCCCTTCCAGACGTCGACAATCACAAGCTGTGCTTGAGCCCTCAGTTTCTTGAGATTTGTTTGTGTCATAAAATGCATTTGGTGGTTGGTCAGCGTATCGGTTCTGGGTGGGTCCCCATAGGTTTTTTGAGTAGTCCCCTATCGTCTCGCGGTAATATTGTCGGGTATTCCAAAAATGCCTGGTTCCTGTCTCATTGAATTGGCGGACTTGGAGCCATGCTTCCCCACATTTTGGCTGGCTCACAGAGTTCCTTCAAGAACACATTTTGGCCACACAAAAATCAAGCAACAGATTATCTTACCCAATTGTAGCTGCCCTTTGGCCCTCTCTGTCGAGCAGCAGGTTTTCCGCCCCCGTAAAGGACCCCTTCAAAAGTCTAACATTTCTAGACTTTAGAGCCTCCGGCTCAGTCCGCCGACATTGTCCTCTCCCTTTTCTCCTTCTTCCCTCTCCCTTGTCTCCCTCGTGCGTTCTGTCGTCCTCTCTCCCTCCCTCTGCTCCCCATTCTCCCCATCCCCCCAAGCCTCTCTCTCCTCAATCTCCCACTCTCTCTCTCTCGCTGTCTCTGTTTCTCTGTCTCTTTCTGTCTCCCTGTCTCCTTCCTGTCCACGCCCCTCTACAGAAAAAGGGCACCCTAATTCGAACCTCTCTACTCTCTCACTTTCTCGCTCTTTCTCTTTCTCTTTCTCTCTCTCTCTCTCTCTCTCTCTGTCTTTCTGTGTCTCTCTTTCTCAGTCTCCGTCTTTCTCTCTCTCGCTGTCTCTCTCTCTGTCTGTCTCTTTCTCTGTTTCTCTGATTCTGGCTCTGTCTGTGGCTCTGTCTCTCTCTCTCTCTCTCTTTCTGTCTCTCTCTCTGTCTCTCTCCCGCTCTCTCTCTCTCTCTCTCTCTCTCTCTCTCTCTCTCTCTCTCTCTGTCTCTCTCTCTCTGCATTGCAGCGTCACGTCCCCCCCCGAGTTGCCTCGATGTCCGGGCACTGCCCCTGCATGACCCTGAACTGTCATCTCACTACTGGCTTTCCCCCTTCATGTCCGTGTCACGTTTCCCATGATGTCCTGGTCCTGTCCCTTCCATGCCATTCAGCCCCCCCTTCATGTCCCTGACATTTTCTCGGTATGTCCGCTTCATTTGCCATGTATGTCCCGTTCTTTCGTTGCGAGTCATTTCCCTACATCTCCCGTCGTGCTTGGTTTCCTTGTGCTTTGTTTCCTCTCCTTCCCCCTGCACTCCCCTTGTTTTCATTTCTGTCCCTTGCATGTCCCTTTCAGTTTTGCTTTGTTTCCCTTTCATGTCCCGCTGCTTTCCTGTCATGTCGACTTCCTATTTCCTCCCCTCATTTCACTTGCACTTCCTTGCATTTCCCCTCTGCTCCCCAATATTTCCAGCAAAAAAACACGGGTTTTCCAGCGTTTTCACAATTAGGACGTCCAAAAACACAGAGTTTTTCCAGATTTTCTGCAAAAGGAGGCAGGAACCCCAAACCAGCAAAGAGCCGGCAGGGGGAATCGAGCCTGGGACCACTGTTTCGCGACACCGGCTCCCCGAAGACTACGTTTAGTGGAACGTCATCAAATTGCCGCGCGGTCCTTGGGGGGGGGGGGGGGGCCCCCCCCCCCCCCCCCCACGTATCAGACGTCGGGCGGGGGGGGGGTTAGGGGGGGGGTATCCTCTATCCTCTCTTAGGTGTCCGACACGCCGAGCAATGTCGGCGGATATCAAGTTCGTGCCCTTTTGGACCTTTGGACCCCATTTAACAACGGGCCATCATGCACCAAAGGGGACCAGACCATTTTATAGTGGACCTTCACTAGCCATCATACATCCAGAATCATCCAGTACTTGCCTGAGTGTCTCTCGTGCTCACAGACTTCCTTTCCTTGTCCGCAGCCTGTCTATCTCTGTAATGAAACTTTAGGGGAAGCCAATCACCAAATCTGGTCTTGCAACAGGGTTGCCGCCCTTGGCTACCTGCTGGTTTCCGGGTTTTCGGCCAGGTCATGGACTGGAGAAGTCCTCCTTCCTGGATTGTGGACCAGCGCCGCGGCTGGAAGTCGAGTGCACGTGCCGTGAACGCTACGTTCACGTTTGGATGGGGCCTCCGATAGTCACCATGGGAAACCAGTCACCAGGCTGCAATGACTCCCTTGCTACAAAAGTGATGGTGAGGGGTTCGGAGGCTTCCGGGCCTGGAGGTAGTGCAAGAACATTTGTTTGAATCAGATCTTTGAAATGGCTGGCCGGGTCGCCCTCACGGGGTTTGGAGGTAGTGTGTCAGATTTGTTTTCATCGGATCACACCCCTTCCCCTGAACACGGGACCCTTGCCGAAAGCTGCTTCGTGCTTGCTGCGCCAAGCCCTCAAGGCGTGTCTTCCAGCTCTCCAGCTGCCCTCTAGCCCTGCAGGCTCCAAGCCCTCCAGCTCTCCAGCTCTCCAACCGTGCTGCCCTGGCAGGTCAATATGGCACAGATCGGATTTGTATTGCTTGGCCGGGCAGGCGGCACTCCTTGCGGAGGTATAAAATCCTTGTTGGGCCTACGAAGATTGTGGTTGTAGATGTTGTTTCCTTCGGTAAATCTCGAGCAATGCGTGGCCGCCAAACCATCGAGGGTCGATGTGTAGGGCTTTGCAGGCTTGCTATATCAAGCAAGGTCTGCAAACATGAAGGACTCCAGGGCGTGGAAGGGATTCCGCTTTGGAAGTTCGACGCCGAGGCAGTGGGACGTGTTGCTGGGCGGTGACCTCGCCTGGTCCTCCGCGCGGGAGTTTGTGCCCGCCCGCGGGCGGGAGGAGATGCCACCCAGCAAGGGCCAGCGCGCGGGAGCGGGCGATTGAAGTGCCCCATGAAATGTTGTTTTCTTAAATAGGGAGCTTCGCTTTCTGGTTATTTTCCAACAAATGGTGTCCTTGACGCAGGGATCCTTTCGAAGGTTGGTATCCCTTTCCAAAGCAGCTTCCCCATGTAATTAGATCGACGGACCACGTGCAGCGTAAGGGGGGGGACATCGAGCTCAAATGGGAGTGGAACAAGCTCGGCCCCCAAGATGGAGGTCCCTTGCTCGATTCCTTGCTTCAGATCGGTTCACGTCCAAAGGGAACCTTTGCTCAATGCGCTTTCTTTCGCTGGTCGGTAGAAAGACAGTCGCGTACAAAGTGCAGTTGGCGATGTTCGCCTTTACCCAGTGGAACCCGTTGTCCAGTGTGTTTCAGTTGACTGCCTTGCCAAAAAAGAAATAGCAACCATTGTTCTCGGTTTGCCTCGTGGAAAAACTGCGCGGCAACTGGATACAAGTTGTGCCTTGCTTGGTACACTAGATTTGTCAAGGATCTCAGGATCTCACTTTCACAGTGCCCGCGCCGCTTCAAAAGTCTTGGGACCCTTTGAAGCTGTTGGAAACAATGATGTAAGCCTTGCAAACAAGTTCCACGCATTGCTTCCACTTGGGTGCTTCCCAATGTCATGTGGGGACCCCCCTTTTTTTTCAAAGAGACACAGAGGTCAGCTCAGCGTGGAAAGATAAACACTCCTGTAGGTTAACATGTAGCCCAAGCAATCATCGCTTTTGGGAGGACTCTCCTGTTGGGGAGACTTGCTTTTCGGGCGTCATGGACGATTTTCATGAAGGCAAAAAGCGGGCTTCGCTTATCCAATTTTACTACACCCACTTAGCCACGCCCACCCGCGCCTGTTTCGAGCGCAGCCCTAGGCGTCCCGGTGCGACTGTAAGCATGTTTGGGCCGAAGTGAGCTCCTTTCAGAGATTTGGGCCAAAGATTGTTTGAGGCTCAAGCGCTTGAGGGGCACGTTGCGCAATCCCAGTCCCAGCGCCCAGGCTGCAGAACCCCCTGCTGCAGCTCCTGTCGCGGCTCCGCTTCGGCCGCTTCTTCCTGGCAGAACGAGAGCGAGACCTCGAGGTGCACTCGGAAGGAGTCGGGTGAGCCATACCCCAAGCAATGTGGGCATGTCTCCAAATTTATAATTCGGGAAAGCATCTCAAAGGGGGTACCATGAGAAATCTGTGTGAATCCGTGAAGTAGCCTCTTTGACAACATGTTGCACAGTTTGCCTTGTCAAGAGGAACGCAATGCCAACAGAGGGCATCCTGCTCAGGGGATGTGGTTCATGGATCCTGTCGTCCATCAGGCCTGTTTCCCAAGTCCAGAGAGAGTCATGTGGCAGCATCGCAATGAGGGCATCTCAAGTTTCCACGTTCCCTGGCAGAAAGGCTTTGTCGCTTCTGATAAGCAGGTTCCTCGCTAAGCATGATCCCAAGGGGGCAAGACATAGTCCACTGGTGGCCACTAGCGCATTTTCAAGCAGAGAGACTCTGTTTATTGGAGGGCGGAACTTGGAACATGTTGTCTGGGTCTGGGAACATATCAAGGTGGGGTGCGTGCAAGAGGCCATGGCCATTGGTGGCGGCACGGATAAGGAGGTGGAAGGAACAGGTCACCTTGGGCGAGTTTCAGTCAGCAACCAATAAGAGTGTCCACCTGTTTAGAGAGGTCCAACGTCCCAACGTGTTACGAAGGACCCAGGCCTATCTCACGCTTCAGGGTGTTGCAAATACTCAGGAGGACAAAGAAGCAGGGGCAGTAGTAGAGCAGGGTTTAGGGCAGAAAACAGGAAGGATCAGAGACTCTCGAGATGCTCGCTCGCTTGCAAAACAACACCCGGGTCCGTGTGATCATGAGCCAACAAAGCCACAATCATGATTCATTGGCCAACAAACTAGGGGCGCCTGCCATGTATTCGTGTTTCCCCCCCTCCCCCAGGTTTCGTCCAAATGCAAAATAAGGCCTCAAGGGGAGGGAAGATGGATCCCATGTATGGGTTCATTTTCCAACTCAGCCACGGCAGGCCATCGAAGACTTCTTCCGAGCCCTGGACGGGGGCTTGGCTTTGGTGCTAGATAGATCTAAATGGCTAGTTGTGAATTTACTCTGGCCTATGAACCACGTCCTTGGAAGTCTCAAGGTTAGTGCACAAACCTGATGCCCTACTGCAACCAGGGCTTGATAGGTAGGTGGGTTCGAAATGTCCGCTAAACTGCGTGGTGCTCCCAAAATCCAAACGATGTAATAGTCCATGGGCAGTTTTAAAATGGTAGATGATCTTGGCAAGGCCTTAACTTCCCTTGTCACACGGTCTTGAAAAGTAGCTTGCGAAAAGCAGCTCGATACCTTGACACGATTCTCCAATCAAATAGCCCATTTGGTGTACCATTGTTTCAATGGGCACTGTGCAATCATGTTTTGTGCTGTTTGTGAATCGCGGGAACTCAATCGTCAAGTCAATGAGCTCTGGTGAGGGCTGTTTTGCAGCGACGGGGCTTGCGCAGTTTTCTAGTTCCATTGGAAGGTCTTTTCTTGCTCTGCTTGCCGAAAGATGGCAGTAGCTGGCAGCTGACACACCATGATCCATACTCGGAGGCTATGTTGAGATATTCGGACTAGCTCCGTATCCAGTCTGAATTGAAAGAATCAAAGCGGGTTTCCAGTTTTGGGTTGACAGCAAAGCTAAGAGTCTTGCTTCACGCGGTTCCCGGAGCTGATGGAGCAGCTGATTTCCATGTGCGTTGGCAGCACGGTTTGCTTTTGTGGCGCTGCCGCTTTAAGCTGAGTAGTGAGCAAAGCGATAACCGTATAGGTGTTTTTATATGGAACAAAACAGTGCATCGATCCCCATGCACACGAATGAAAGGATAAGTTGCACTCTCAACCTCTGAATGAGGACCGAACTGATCGTACTGTGTTTGTGTTTGAATCCAGTCTGACATGTTACCACAGGTTTGCGAGTGTGTCTGTGTTTGTGTGTGTTTGTATTGGTTGACACTCCGGGTTGAACATTGGTTTTCTTCCTTGGTTTCCTGTGCCTGGACCTCACTTTCTACTTGTGGGGTCTTTGGAGTAACCCTCTACCCCCAAATTCGTCAAGATCAACTTGGCTCAACCCTGGCGCCTTTGCAGGAGTGCTTTGGCTTCAACGCCATTAGACTAGACTCGCCCACCGGCCCCAGCGGCGCTGCGCTCACGGACCGAGGGTGTACTGAAGTGCAGATAACCAAAAGTCAATCGTGTTCAAGGGTGGGCATTGCAAGAATTGCAAGTCCGATGATTAGCCACTCAGTAGGGTTTAAGGATTTTGTGAAAAGTATTGACACGCGGTTCGCAGATTGCTCGACCATTTGCAACTCTTCAGCCCAAATACCAAGTCCTTTGCTGCCTTGAGGCATCATGTTGGAAGGCGTGTCTATGAAAGGCCACACTGATCCCGACAAGCAACGTATTCTGTGTGCGGGGGGGGGGGGTTTGCCCCACAACAGGTATGGCGCCTGCGTCATGTTCAAGGCCGGCATGCAGTTCGACTAGTAAACGTATGGTTAGTGTGCAAGACAGCCTTGCCGCAGAACGGCCAAGGCTTGCGCGCACCCTCAGAGTTCAGGCTATGTACTTGGGCCATTGCCTTCTGATTGCCAATGATGGAGCGCAGAAAGTTTGCTTTTGCCCAAGGCTCCAAGTCTGATCTGAAGGCCTGGCAGCGTACAACGAAAAGCATGACAGATTGGGTAGGTTGATATGATTGGGCTGCTTTAATATGATTCATCAGTATGATAAATGCAACAAGAAGGGCACACACTCACACCATGCGAGCACCGAGCCCATTTTACTTATGCAGAGAGGCAGATGTCCTTGGTCCTTGAAGATTCATGGGAAAATGCAAATTGCCCCTGTTACTCTGGTAAAATCCCTCGTGAGTGATGGGTTCCCCGCTACACAGGGAAACAACCCTTTATGTTTCCAATTCCTTTTACGTTTTTGGGTCACTGGTTGCAACTGGTTTGCAGAAACCCGAATGTTCAGCCGCTGTCCAGCCCTTGGAATCTTAGTCTCGGTCTGCCTAATATTGTGCCTTGCGTCACCAGGATGCGAAAGACATTGCGCTGTGGACCGTGCAGCACTCGTGCATTCTAGCGACTCGGCAGTTCGGCAGTGGCAAGCAACGGAATTAATCTCTCAATACTAGGAAGACCCAAGGGGTTTGATGGGTCGGTAAGCATTTTCTCAAGCATTTCACTGCACCACCTGGAATTTTCTTCAAAGAGGGCTTGATCCCTCGACGAAAAGGGGAATGTAAGGACTCCTGCAGGATTGAGACACCTAGCGGCCCACTTGATGGAGAACCTTCCGAAGTTGAACGAACTCCGACAAACAAACTGGCAGACCTAGCCTGCAGGGTGCAGATTGGCTGTCAGCTTCCATTCCAATGCTTCAGGTCAGAACGTGTTATGGAAGATCCCAACAAGTAATTGATCGTAAAGGTCGCCCGGGAGGTTTGAATGGGACAGTCCCCATTGAATCTGTACTAGGCGTTCTAACTTGGCCATTTTACGACTCACTCAGTTGTGCAGGGAGCAGGCATGGCCTCTCTGGTCCTCTCTGGTGCTCGCTGAGCGACCATCCAGCACTTCCTTCAGTGATGCGAGCTTGTTTCCGTTGCGAAGGGAAGTAGAATATGTACTATTCTGGTTAGCTTAGGGAATCCCGAACAGCGACACGATCTAGATCATGGATGTTTAAAATGAACATCTGATCAACTTCCTGAGGAAAATTGTGATAGGTGCCGTGTATCCACTTGCTCGTGAAATGAACGGATTGAGCATGGTGTGCTTGGCTGAGATGGAAGCTGCCGGGCGCACCTTGAAAGATATTTAAGCGCTCAATACTTCGTTTGACATCCGCTCGGAGGATCATTGATAAGCCTTTGCACTTTTTGGGCCGTTCATGTGAGAATTTTGTTTACTCAATTTAGTTCCACTGGAGCCACTGAGCTGACAAACAAAAGTCAAGAGCTTCATTGAGGACATCCCACCAAGTCCAAGCCCACAGGCTGGGCGGTGTGGGAAAGGGCGTCGGAACAGAGAAGTACGCGCGTTGCTATATCGCCCCCTTTAAATGTGATCAACACATTTGAAACATTGCAGGTCCATGGCCCTTCAAAGGATTTGCCGATTCCGAAATGTTTCAGCGAACAGTATCATATAACTTGCGACGAGGATGAAAGGAATTGCTGACGATCCAGAGGACTAAAATAGTTTGCTTGACCATTTGTAGGCCTCAAAACGGTGCTCAGTTGGAAGTTGGACACACCATGTTGCTTGATGCCGAGGCCAGAAGTGGATTTTGCAATGAACATTTTGTGCTTGACATGAAAGGGTCTTCGTCCTGGCTTGCTTTGGCAAACTCACACTTGACCTGTCTTATCATTGACGGACTCCGCTTAGCAAGCAATGACTTACCTTGTGCACGCGTCGCAGACAGCGTTCATTTTCTCGGGGGAGAAGGCGCCCTGGAATTCATCAGAGTGTTCACAGAGCGTCAAGCAAGACCCCAGGAAATCGCATCCACACGCTCACATTTCGCTTGAGCTGGCAGAATTCGTAGGCTTCTCAGCTTTTCCTGGTGTGCAACTCTAGTAGAGCTGGCAACACCTGAAATGAGCAGCTTTCGTCATTTTTATATGGTGGAAATTGGTACTAACCATTTAAGCTGGGGAACAAGGATGCTATATTTTGCCACAATATGTGGCTTTACTCTCGGAATGCACAATAGAAACAATCTTTTCCAGCATCCAGTTCAACGTAGTTCACCTACACACACACACACTGTGTAACTCAGAAGCTTATCTTTGTTTGGTCGCGTGAAACGCGTACTCGCTGCTGCACTGGCAACAACTATCTTGCTAGCCTTCATGCTTTGGAGCTGACTTCACAGAAGGTACCAGAATCCTTCAAGGCTGAACCACACTGTGCAGGCTGAACATATACCTGGTTGAGCCGTGTGACGCAAAAATTACATCGTGCCAAAACGGTGTACTTCACAATGGGCTGCAGTTGTGCTCCGCTAGCGCCCAAGCTTCAACCTGCCTTCTGCCCTATGGATGTCTTGCTGGGAAAAAATCGCGAGAGTAGTGCGGCTTTGCAGCTGAAGTCAATCAAGAAAATACTTAATGCCTGAAGGAGTTGGTTGCAATTATAGCCTCCAGTTCTTCATCAAATGCGGGGGTCCACCAAAATGTATTGATAGCGAGGGAGTTGCCTATGTTTCCTCCGCTGAATAGCTGTTTCCCACCCCAGAAATGGCATGGAGGGTCCCTTCATCCTTATCATCCCCCAGTGGAGGGCCACTGAAGGGCCCTGATGTTTCAGGCGGGTGACAATCTTTTGCCCGGCCAGCTGCTCGAGGAATTCTTGCAGCAGCCGCAAAGCTGCGCTTCAGAACTTCAAAGCGCTTTCGCGCACGATCGTCGGTTGTTTAGCCGAAACCTCGATGAGCAGATGCTGGGCTATGGCCCATGGCTGGTACCGACATGCATTGTTTCATTATTATTTTTATGTGTGTAATATGCCTGCATGCATAGTTACGTGTACATGGTATTCCCCCCAGGAGTACGCAGGTGTTGGCCTAGTGTTTGCCTTAGTTCAGATTTTCTGCCAGCTGTCAAAGGTTCCTGTTTGACAAAGGCAAGACTTGCAGAGAATTAGCTTCGTGTGGCAGGTGGGGCGCCATCCCCTCGCTTGGTAGGAGCTGGAATCTTGAATCCTGTTGCAAAATGTGCTGAAACAACTCGAGGCGCAAAAGTGCGCAACATTGCAGGATGGGCCTGATAAGCGTCAAAACGTCTGCCCGTTGAGCGCGTCCAAGCTAGCCGTGGGGAGCTTCCGCGCAATGTCAAAGAGCTTGGAGCTGTGCTCAAATGCCTGCGCTGCATGTTTCTGGCAGGCACTGCGTTACATTTCACCGCCCCTGCGGTGACCGCAGGTGAGACCTCGCGGCGATTGCGATCTCAGTTGCTGCGCCTTCCTTCCCTTCACCCCAAACACTGCGCGCACACACACACACACACGGAAAATTGGAGTGGCCCACCCTAAGCCTCAACTAACAACACCACGTGGTGCCCAATGTTCCAACAGCGTGAGAAAACGCCGAGCTTTGACTTTATCCGAACACGCAGCTTGATTTGGGCGAAACTCTTGAGCCATGCTTGGAAGAAACCAAGCACTCTAAAACGCAAGATTCAAGATTCGCAGAACTCCAACTTTGATTCGCGAACCCAGTGCTGCGCCAGGCCAAGACGCTACAACTAAAAAAGCACTTTTTCCCTGACCAAGTGCTATGACGCGCGAGCATGTACTGGCACTCCTAGGCCGAAAAGCTCGGAACTTTGTTTCTGGACATCGTCAATGCAGGATGTTGCCAGGATGCGCTTGCCACGCCTTGAGTTCTCAATTCCTGGAACAGTGGGGCTTTTGAGTTTTAAAAGCAACTACTATCTATAGGTATAGGGGGGTAAAAACCCATATTCGAATGCATCGTTTTGTGCCGTTGTGTAAAGACTGTACCTACAGGGCAATCCAGGATGTGCTAGCGCATCCTCGTCTGAAGATCGAAGGGTCCGAAAAGTTTTCTGAGAGCCTCAAATCCACACGCTGGGCAATCCAGGATGTGCTAGCACGTGCGAGCGCGTCCTGGGCGGAAGATCGAAGTTTGGAGAATCTTCAATCCGAGGATCAAAGTTTGGAGAATCTTCAATCCAGGATGAAAATATTTGGCCAACCTCCAACCTTCAGGATGCGCAAGCATATTCTAGAGCGTCCTGGCTTGCCCGAAGTACGCCACATGTGCTCGCGCATCCTGGGTTGCCTTGAAGGCAGGACAAAAAGGCGCAGTGTCCAAGCATCGACTTGGCGTTCCCCTCGTGCATTTTTCCTCCAACTTGCCAGTGCTCGTTTGATTTTGATGATCAAAGACCTGAATATTCCAGGGGGTGCCACACACTTAAACTCCAGATGGAGGGTGCTACTCTTTCGAGTACAACTGATGAGTCTCGAGTACAACTGATGAGTCTCGAGTACAACTGATAAGTCTCTCATCGTTCGAGTACAACTGGTGAGTCTCGAGTACAGCTGGGGTTCAGCTGGTTTTGGAGAAAAGGGTAAAAAGGGGACCTTTGTTTCGGGTGGGCCCGCCAGCTGCCATGACAATGGCCCAGGCGCAGCCCCGCAGGTACGTTTGGACCCGGACACCGGGGGGCGTCTTCGTTGGCTGGAGACCCCCCGGGCCGGCTCCAGCCCCCTGCTGCGGTGGAAAAAGGTGGATGGTGGCAGGGTAATCTGCCACTCCGCACACACACGCCCCTCAGTGAGGGGCGAAAAGTCTCTTTTTCGGGGGGAAGAAGAAGCGCCCGAAAGACGGACGAAGACCCCAACAGAAAACAAACGGAGCAAGAACCCAAAAGGAACAGAAAGGCCCCACGTTGGGTCTCCGCGGGCAAAACCCCAACCAAGAAACACGAAAAACGGGAAACCGAGTTTAGGGTCACCGCCGAGGGCAAAGAACCCCAAACAGTCCAGAAACCCTCCTAAACCTTGTAGAGAAAGAGCACCGCGAAGTTGAAGAACGACACCACGAACACGCCATCCCTAAACGGGCGAAGAGGAACAACCGGAAGTAGTAGGGAAAGGGGAGAAGAAAAGAAGGAGAGAGCGAGAAAGAGAGAAAGGAGGAGAAGGGCCGAGATGCGTATTTAGGGCGCCGCAGCCCGCCCGAGGAGAGGAGAAAGGAGAAAAAGAAAAGGAAGAGGGAAGTAGTATGCGTTTTTAGGGCGACGCATCCCGCCCAGACAGGAAGAGAGGATGAAGTCCAAAGCTCGAGGAGGAAGACGACGAATCCCACACAGGGGCCAAGAGGACGAACACGAAATAGCAACGGAAGGGGAAGAAGACGTCAAGCCAAACTACGTGAGGAAGAAGAGGAGTAGGAACAGGAAGACGGACACGAAGACGACGACGAGGAAAAAGGTGCACAACGCGAGGACAACCAGGCCATCCCTAAGCGGGCGAACAGGAGGAGGGCGAACGCGCGGGTCACGAAAGGCAGCAGGAAGAGAACGGGAGGAAGGAGAAGCCATCCCTAGGCGGGCGAAGAACCAGAAGACGGGCACGCGACGAAGGCGAGAAAAAAGAACGAAGGGTGAAACGTAGCTATGAAGAGGTGGCTGTCTTCCCTTTAGTGAAACCTCGATCCTGGTTAAATGTGAAATTCCGCTGGTCTATGATAAGCACGCTGAGGTCAAATTTTCCGACAGAGCCGGCCCGGGGTCACACAATGGGTACACCCGAGGATTCCCCACGAATGGGGTGTACACACTTAAACTCCAGATGGAGGGTGCTAATCTTTCGAGTACAACTGATGAGTCTCGAGTACAACTGATCTCTCATCGTTCGAGTACAACTGGTGAGTCTCGAGTACAGCTGGGGTTCAGCTGGTTTCGGAGAAAAGGGCAAAAAGGGGACCTTTGTTTGGGGTGGGCCCGCCAGCTACCATGACAATGGCCCAGGCGCAGCCC